TTTCATTCAAGCTATAAGAAAAGCTCCCATTGATTTAAATCGTGAATGTTCAAAACACATTTCCATTGTTTTATTATTCTGAAAAATTTAATAAACAAAAAGACTAGGACAGAAAGAATGTAAAAATATGTGAATTTTACAGTGTACTGTATAAATGCCAGAATTAAGTTGTTCCTAAATGTTTCATAATATGTTTATTATAATGATCAAGATATATATCTTGTTTTATGTAGCTTTCAGTCTTTGCAAATGACTGCTGTCTGAGCTTAGTCAAATATTCAGATACTCCTACCAATATCTACTCCCACAAAATTTGACATGCATTTAGTTGTCTAAATGCAATTCAGCTTTCCTTTTAATCCACATACACATTAGTCTTAGTCCACCCCCTCCAGTTGATCAGTTAGTATAAATTGGGAAGGAAATTGTATTTTAATATATCTTCCCACTAGATTTGTTATAACACCAGCAGTGAGACAAAAGCCATTAGATGACATTGGAAAGGCTGGCACTGGGGAAAATATTACTGAATTACTATTTTTTTCCAAGTAATATAAACTAAAGGGGGTGGAGGAGGGGAATAAACAAATCAAAAAACCCAGCAATTCAGTACTGTATAGAATGCAAGACAAAGTGAAGGGGAATTATAGGAATTATTCTATAGCTGTACCTCCTCCACTAAATCATGCACTAAAATATTTTTGATCTTTCTTTTTTTTAAATAGAATACATCAGAATTGGCATTATTAAAATTAACGTTTACATCCACACTCAGCATTAGTGTAAAAAGGATGTGAAATAATATTAATTAGACTATGTGAAAAATATAAAGAAATCTGAAAATAAGTACAAGTTATACTGCTTGGAAACATATTTATCATAGAATCATAGAATCAGTGAGTCAGAAGGGATCTAGACAGATCATCTAGTCCAACCCCCTGGCATGGGCAGGAATAAGCATGGGGGTGGCAGGGGTCATAAGACCCCAGCCAGGTGCCTATCCAGTCTCCTCTTGAAGATTTCCAGGGAAGGTGAGAGCACCTCCTCTCTGGGAAATCTATTCCAGGCTCTGGCCACCCTTACGGTGAAGTAGTTCTTCCTAATATCTAACCTAAACCTATCCTCCCTCAGCTTGTGGGCATTGTTCCTGGTGACTGCAAGGGGGGCCCTGGTGAATAGACTTTCCCTGAGTCCCTGCTGGTGGCCCCTAATAAGGTTATAGGCAGCCACAAGATCCCCCCTCAGTCTTCTCTTGCAGAGGCTGAAGAGATTCAGGTCCCTCAGCCTCTTCTTATAGGGCTGGCCACGGAGGCCCCCAACCATATGAGTGGCCTTCCTCTGGACCCTCTCCAGGTTCTCCATGTCCTTCTTGAAGTGCGGCACCCAGAAAATTTAGAAGTGTGAGGTTTACTGGCCTGTAGTTGCCAGGCTCTTCCTTCCTCCCCTTCTTGAAAATAGGAAAAAAATTTAGGAAAAAAATATCAGTATAATAAATTGAGTTAACAATAGAGAATCAGTCTATATGCTGAGTTCATTTTCTGCATTACTTAATGTCAGGCTTCTGTGACTCACTGATTTATTATTCTCTGAAATACAAAATATAGAAAAATAAAAGAGGAAAGGAAGGATATAATACAATATTTGCTCATTGTACATATAGTACATTTATTTCTTCATAGTCCTAGCTGATGTAGCTTTGACACCCAACTGTACATCTCTATGCCCATGCTACACTTTATATTCAGTAAATATGAGACATTAGCAAAGAACATAATGTCATAGGAGAAATAGTGACAAAAATCACTTTAACCTTATTAGCATTCCCTTATTAGCAGGAATCCTGAGGTCAAACGGTCATAAACTACTGCGGGACTGTTTCAGGCTGGACATAAGGAAGAATTTCTTTACTGTCCGAACCCCCAAGGTCTGTAACAGCCTGCTATCAGAGGTGGTTCAAGCACCTACATTGAACACCTTCAAGAGTAAATTGGATGCTTATCTTGCTGGAATCCTATGACCCCAGCTGACTTCCTGCCCTTTGGGCAGGGGGCTGGACTCAATAATCTTCTGAGGTCCCTTCTATCCCTAATTTCTATGAAATCTATGAAAAAAACAGTGGAAAGTTTTATAGGAAACATGTTGCCCTAGCTACCTTACTTTTAATTGCATGGCCCTCAGGGCAGGACTTAGATCTTCTATAAGTGGCTAGGCTCACTACAGAGAGTTAGGTACCTCAAAATTAGGTCCGGAAAAGCTAGTAACTTGACCAAGGAGGCAGCTAAAGTCAGTATATTGTGTGTCCCAAGAGCCAATCAATAGGAAGCTGAACAAACACCATAAATCCATTGCCCAGATGCTTCACTCTAGACTGAACAGAAATGTATCTATCTGTTTGGTCACAACTTTCCTCTGAATATTAAGCTTTCAGAAGAGTAGTAGGAGGTGATTTCTCACTTTTATATAACAGCCTAATGGTTAAAGAAATCACCTATGAAGTAAGAGACCTTAGTTTAATCCCCTAACTCTGTCTTGTGGATCTTTTACACTAGATAAACAGTAGGGCTGTGTGAAATTTCACTGGCTATTTCGTTTTGAGGCTGTTTCAACTCATTACAAGCTCAAAACAGTGAAATTGAAATGAAATGAAATGAAATGGAGGGCTTTGAAACAACCTCAAAATGAAACAAGGGCAGTCAAAACATTTTGAAAGTTTTGAAATGTTTCGAGTTTGGAAGCTTAAGCTGGGCTTGCCTGCAGGGAAACAGAAAGTAAGGAGAGGGAGGGGGAAAAGGGAGGAAGAGGGGGGAAGGACTGCTTTCATATTGACTGTGTAGCTGGCCAGTGACTGTGATCCTTCCCTGAGGTCCCTTTCAATCCCAGTGCTCATGGGGATAGATGGAAAACAAAATCAAAGGCAGTATTGTTTGAATTGGCCTTCTTTCTGCCTTGGGGTCTAACAGTTACTGAGCTATCTTCCAGCAGCTCAGGAGTGTTACAGAACTACTAACATTGATTTGAATGATTTTTTACATGCTAGCCTAGCAAGTGGGATTCCACAATAACATTTTCTTTCTCCTAGACCCTTTTACTTTATTGTTATCCTCATTGATTTATTCTTTTTAATTTTATAATTATATTGGATATTACACTAAAGAATTTATATAGGAAGGTCGATATGTTTATATTTTATTTCTATACTTTTATACCTTGCAGCATATTACATACACATTATAGAATTTTAAAAAAGAAGGGAGATAGAGTTATACCTTGTGGCATAGACTACACACCTTATAGAATTTATATAGGAACACAGATACATTTATATATTTGTATAAAAACAAAATACTATGAAACACACCATGAATTGTGGTGAAAAGGCAGCTAGCAAGCCTTCAGGGAGGGGTGCACAGATAAAGGTGCAAGTTCCCCCCCACCCCCAAACTGAGACACAGCCTCTTTCCTACAACTAGCAGGGATGAGGTTTCCATAAGCAGCAAGGAGAGGGGAGCATTACCAGTGTCACTGCTTCTGCCTAAGACTGCATCCCCATCCAAGGACACCAGCCATAACTCTCCGCCCCCCACCACCATGAAAACAAGCAGCACCAGCACCAGCACTAACATGACAGTCTCCTCCACCCTGATTTCACTTCCCATGCTGAGCCTTCCAGTGCCAGAGGAAGAGCTGGATCTTGATCTGAGTGTCATAGCAAGGGGAAATCTGGGGAAGGAGGGGGAATCAACTGATTTAGTACCCCACACCTCTCAAGTTTCCCCAAGAGCCAGGTCTCCTTCCCCAGAAGGCACTTCAGAGGAGGCTGAGGCAGAGGTTGCGGAGGCAAGAAGCTCAGTAGAGTCTGCTTCTCCTGTTGCTGTGCCTCTGCCTGCTGAGGAGGGAAAATTGCAGCACCCACACTCAATGAAACAGCCGGTGAAATTTCACACAGACCTACCGTTTATTAAGTGAGTGGGTAGTGTGGTATGGAATCATGCAGGATCTGGAGACTCGAACGAACTCCACATACCTAATGCTCAAGAGGCTGGTGGAGCAACAGAAGGCCATCCATGAGATGGCCTTGCTCGGGGAGAATGGGATCAGCTCCCCACTTAAGAGAGCTGAGTGGGATACCATCTCCCAGATCTTGGTAGTCCTGAAGCCCTTCCTTGAGGCCACTGAGACCCTCAGTGTTGGTGATGCTCTCCTTAGCCAGGTGATCCCCGCAGTGAGGGAACTTGAGAGCCAAGTGGAGAGCTTCCAGGGGATCAATGTTCCTGGCTGGGGCAAGGCACTGTAACCAGATGTCCAAGCACTGGTGAGGCGGCTGAAGGAGGGCATTAGGAAATGGCTTGATCCCTTGCAGTCCAGTCCAGTCCATGTACTGACCACCATGTCTGACCTGCAGGTGAAGGGCAGCATATGCAGCAGCCAAAGCCTGAATCAGTGAATGGAGGTGCTGGGGAAGAGAGTCAAAGAGGCAGAATGGTGGAGGCAAGAGTCCAGAGGCACGAGACCCCACCATCAGGCAGTTAATGCTCAGGCCTTGGTGGCTGTCTATCCTGCTAAGGATGTGGAGCAACTGCTGTGTGACCCCTTGGCCTACTGGGCAAGCCGCAGCCAGATGTGGCTGGATCTGGCCACAGCTGCCAGGGAATACTTGTCCTGTCCATCAACCAGTGTTCCAAGACAGAGGGTGTTCAACAGTCCTGGGGATGTAGTGACACCCCACTGCACCTACTTGGATCCTGGTTTGGTGAAGCAGTTGGTGTTCCTCAAGGTGAACCTCCCGCTCCTGAGGTTCCCCAAGCTCCAGGTGCAGATGTAGTGAATGCCACCCTCCTCCCTCCATTCATACCTATTTCCTTTTTTCATCTTTTAGAAGCCATTTAATGCCCCACTCTCAGAGTTGGAGGGACCACTCATTGCATCACCAACCAGAAGAGGAAGAACATGTCCCTGCTGAACTTCCATGCCACAAAGAACTTAGAGACATGAGATTTGGCTATGGGGAAGGTGGAGGCCCCAGGTCCTGGGCATGACCACTAAAACTGAACTCTGCCAGGGTTGGAGAGGCCTGGTGGGGGACTGCTGGTGGTATACCAGCCCCAGGAAATGCCAGGACTGAGGACCCCCCTGGTGAAGGGTGGGTAGGAGGCACCATAACCTTCAGCTATCACATGCATACACATGGTCCTGGCTGGGGAAAACCCAGACCCGTCATGTCTTTGACAGGCCTGAGGCTGGCTGGTTGCAGTGGAGTTGTGAGGCTCCAGGTGAGCTCAGGTTAGCTGCATGGGATGCCAGCTTTCAAGTTGAAAAACTCTTTGTCAGGCTGAGGAAGCACCTGCAGTTGGTGTGTGTGTGCACTGTTCCTGGATGGAAGGAATAGTAAAGAAGCCAGATGCTGTCATGCAATTCAGGCAAGAAAGCCAGTCAGTGAAAATGGAAATGGAGGTGTCAGAGGGTGAAGACTATGCTTGGGGGGAGGGGGCAGGGAAAGGGAAATGTAGCAGCGGAGGTAAAAGTGGAGAGGTACCTGGGGAGTCAGATGTCCGGCAAGTTGTAGTGTGTCAGAATTCCACTGTCTATATTGAGTCCATGAGCTTCTGTACCTTGGAGGCTAAAGGTGAACTTCATAGGCCTGGCTGTGAAAAGTGGTTTGCAAATTCAAACAAGCCTCTTGAGGAACACCACCATGTCATTTAGAGGCCCCAGTGCCAGTGGGGGTATGCCTTAACACACATACAGTGTGACCCATGTCATGAGTTTTGCTTGTCAGCAGCCTGAGGTGTGTCCAGGAGTTGGTTAACCAAGCTCACGGTGTCATGGTTGGGAGGCCGGGCGGTGGCTATTGGACACGGAACAGGCGGGATTTTTGGCGTGGAGTTCTGAGGCACGGAAACGTAACAGTTTCAAACAAAGTGGGTTTATTTGACTTACGCTTTTGAAGGCATAGGTTGCGATGCTTGTTTCAGTTACAGGGTAAAGTTGCAGAACAGAACGAACGAAACAAAGGGGGTCTGTTGGCCCACAAGGTTCCCCAACGAGCCCTTGTGTTCTAGCCGGAGCTAGGTGCGGCTGCCCGTTGGTTAGTCTTAGGGCTGGTCAACAGCTCATAAAGGGTTAAACAAACAATACAAACAAATGATAACTGTAACTCATCGAGAAGAATGAAGTGATCGTGACACCAGTCCAATGGACGAAATGGGTGGTTGAAGGAAAAGCCGAGGTCGAGAGCTGAGAGGTGAATTAGGGATGAGCCGGATCGTGGTCGATAATGGAAGCTGAGGTCAGTCAAATGCCAGGTAAGTAAAAGCCAGAATCAATGTCAGAGCCGTAGAAGTAATCGAAGTCAGGGTCAAAGCCAGTAAGTTCGGTAATCGGAATAATCAGTACACGAGGAAACAAAATCGAAGGTATGAATTCGCTGTGTGAGTTTGTGAAAAGAACCGGGGGATCGACTCCCAAATCGCTCTCTGCCTCGCAGTCCCTGCTGACAGCAGCCTCTGCTACAGATAGCGCACGGTCTCTCACCACTCTTTCACCAACAACGCCCACACAACCCACACAAAAGTGGGGGTTTCACTCACTAATATAGTAGCCCCTTAGCCAATCAGGCCGCTTGGCTGTTAGAATTTTCTAGTATGATTACATCATGCTCTTTTTAACTGAGCATGTGTGAGTTAGAGCTCTGTGTTGTAACTAGGCATGTGCAGGGCTGAAAAGTAGGTCACCGGTGATTGACAGAGCTTCAGGTCACCCAGGGGGCATGTGCTGGGCATGCTGTGGAAATTTCCATGAGCCAGTGTTATCTGCGCATGATCAGACTTAACTCATGTGTTGCCAGCACCTCTTTAGAATTTTTCTTGGACAAGGTGAAGTTTCCCAGAAACACCTGCATCTACCTCCTTGAAAGATGGCAGATTCCATGGCCTTAGCAAAGCCTAGCATGCAGCAGTTTTCACCCCGCTTCACCTTAACAAATGCACGTGACATGAGTTTTGCTTTCAAGGATTTGAAGTGCAGTTTCTGAGAAACCCCTGCACCTATCTCCCTGAAGCTAGGCAGGTGTCATGGTTGTAGGAGGAGCTACCACCCCTGCAAGTTTCATCCAAATCAGGCAAGAAATGACAAAGTTATAGGCAGTTTCATGCTTCCACATTATAGCCTAAGGGCAAAATGTCGAAACAGCGAAACAGTTTCGACAAAACAAAATGGAACAGTGGTTTCAAAAGAAAATGAAACTTGAAACAAAACACTGTCCTGTTGAAATGTCAAAAAGGAAGTTGAAACAAAATGCTGCAGAAAACAGAAACAGTCCTCAAAGTAGTAACTTGAATTCTGGCTTTTTTCCTTTCTATTGTATTCATTAGAATTCAATTTCATATTTATTCTTGGGATTTTCTCTGGCCCAATGAATCTTAAATTCAATGATGCACTTTGCAAAGTTGCAGAGTTTTAACAGGAGAAATGGAAACTGCTGCAATTCCAGAATAGCCTGGTGGTTAATATCCAATGGTGGGCTTTTACCCCAAAAGTCCTGCTCCTATCTGTGGTAGAGGCTTGTCTCTATTGATCTAGGTGTTGTCAATCTCTGGAGTTCAACACCTGTATGAGCAGCTTTTTTTTTTGTTTGTTTTCTTCCTTTCTTACTCTATTTTCTACACGAAGAAAGCTTTAGCACCTCAGCTAACAAGCCGAAGTCCACCACAATGTCTTGCTGATCCCTTCCACACATCCACGATCTCATCTGCCACGACTTGTTATTACAGGAGAAAATAGAATGCCAGGGTGTGTGTGTCTTGACACTTTGGCTCTTGCAATTTGTTTTAGTGTAGTGAGGGCTCCACCAATCCCTACACCCTTGCCCATTACCGGGTGGTAATTCAGTTATCTCCACAATCTGCCTTTGAGAAGTACAAAAAAATGCTCCTTGGGTCTCTAGGTGTGGCCAATCATTATCACCAATGGGCCTGGTTGTACCTTGCACAGCTGGAACCTGGCACAAACCTGCCAGAAATCCTAGCCAGTCTTTTTCCTGGCCTATTGTCCTGATAGTTGTAAATGCACAATCTGGGAGTGACTTTCCTCTCACCCTAATGAAAAGGAGAACAAAAAACAAACCGGCGCTTCTTCTGTCCCAACTTTGCGGTAATTTTTTTTCAGTCCTGCTATTAGGGTCTTGACAGAACCTTCTAACTGCCTCCTGGCAGTTTCTGTTTCTCTCCGGGACTTTCCTTCAGGGTTCTCTCCCCTGGCAGCTCCCCCCACAGAGTTGCTTCCCTTAAACCCAGTCTCCCTTGCTTCCTCAGAGCCTCTGGCTCTCCCTGCTGTCTCGCTGCTTCAGTCAGTCACTTCTGGTTTTCTGTGTCCTTCTTTTGCCTGCCCCACGTCTCCTTTTATCCTGGAGTTCTGGCTGACTCCCTCTCCCTTCCTGAAACACCGGGTGAAGAAGGAGCCCTGCGGAGTTCTTTCCAATACAGGTGGGGCCATTTTACTCCTCAGGGGCTCTTCTCTTTCCTCACAGTTAGCAAACATTCCAGAAATATAGGAGCTGTGGATATGAATATCCATAGGAAATGGAAGGGCTTCAACCTGGCTTCCCCATTAAATGTCTGAGTGTTCTAAAGAGTTAGCTGTTGTATGAAAAAGGAAGGAAGAGGCACAGCATTTTGTGAGGAGCCAAAACCTGTTATGTGTGAGATATTTTCTAGGAAGGCCTATGTACTCATCCCCTCAGGGATTCAGGACAGAGTTTTTGGACTGTAAAATGATTAAATATGAGTAATGCACCAAGATGCTAAACACTGTCAAAACTTCAACACTTCTGTTCATATGTAAAAGTAAAACTTTGAGGCAGAAAAGGAGTTTATAGCCAGAAACTGAAGCACCTATGGACTTTGGGTACTTCCATGATTAAGCTGCATTTGAATGAAATATTTTGGATCACAACTTTAGGCATTTAAGATTTTAAAAAATATTTTAATTCCTCTGTGTGTGTGTGTGTGTGTGTGTGTGTGTGTGTGTGTGTGTGTATAGACACACACCTATATTAAAACATATATATATTAGGCCTGTGCGAAGCAGCAATTATTTGCTTCATATTCAGATTTGGCCAATTCAGAGGGACAGTGATTCAATTCATTGATTCAAATCACTGTCTCGATTTGATTCAGCTGATTCAGATTTGGAGATTTGGCGCTGATTCAGAGATTTGGCCATAGACTATACAGGCAGCCCTCGCCAATGATGGACACAGCTGTCTCCATCTGGTAAATCTGTCGTGGTGGGTGGAGGGGAACGAAGGGGTGTGGGGGAGGCAGATCAGCACCCCCACAGTGAGGGAGGGATTGGGGCTGGGAAAAGCTGCTCAGCTGGGGGAGGGGGAGGGGGGCATGGGACTCGGGGGAGGGGCTCCTGCCACTGCACACCGTTGCGCATTGCTGGTCTGGGAGCTGCTGTTCTGGTGGCTCCTCCAACAGCTCTTGCCACCGGGCTGGGAGGGCATGGGAGTGGGTGTGTGAGCCCAGATCTGTGCATGGTGGGCTGGGCTGGGCTATGCTCTGGGAGGCTAGCCCCAGCTGCTTACCAGTGTGCTGTGCTCTGTGGGGCGGATGGAACTAGAGCCGTGCTCTAGGCAGAAGACTCCACTGCCAGGCTGCACTCTGCAAGGTGGGCGGAGCCAGGGCTGCACTCCAGGATGTGACCGGGGTCAACTGCCCAGAGGAAATCCCTGGCTTCACCCACCCTGCAGAGCACAGCCCAGCAGCGGGCAGCTCAGGTTAGCCTCCTGGAGTGCAGGCCTGGCTCCACCCACCCCGCAGAGCAGACCCTGGCAGAAGGCAGCAGAGGCTAGCCTCCCAGAGCACGGCTCTGGTTCTGCCTGCCCTGCAGAGTGCAGCCTGGCAGTGGGGGCTTGCCATCTGGAATGCAGCCCTAGCTCTGCCCTCCCCCTGGAATGCAGCCTGGTGGCAGGCAACTGAGACTAGCCTTCCAGAGCAGAGCCCTGGCTC